TTTAACATCTCCAAGTTGAGAGAGAGAGAGAGAGAGAGAGAGAGAGAGAGGCTGTGTTTACACTGCAAGGCTTAATGCACAGATCTGATCTTTTGACTGTATCAGATTTTTAATTACAGTAGTTTTTATGTATGGTTATTTTATTTATGGTTGTTAGATCTAGAATTCTGAAGGGAAATAGTGTCGTAAGATTTCATTTATTTAAAGGAATTTGAGGAAGAGTTCGTGTGTGTGAATTACTTGAGAAACTGTGAAACTTGTGAAACTGAGAGTTTAATTAAAAAAACATTGCGTTCAGCTATGATATGGTGACATGATCACCTTGCTGAAAATTATAATTTTCAATGGTAATCAGATTTATGTTTAGACGCAGGTCAGATGTCCAGATATCAGATACAGTCTCTACAGCGGTCATAACTTCATCAACCATACATGAAGACTATAATAAAGATGACACAAATATTAGTTAAAGCCATTACTTATAGACCAGGTCTCCACTACGCTAAACCGTACAGTGTGTCTGCATCAGAAATGGCATACTTCCCCACTGTACAGTACAGAAAAGTGAAGAGGGAAAGAGAGAGAGGGGGCAAGATCGGGAAAGGTCCACAAGCCAGGATTCGAACTCGGGACGCCCGTAGCGTGACGTGCTATATGTACAAGTACAAGATCTTTAGGTCCCTCTACCCTTCAGAAGATAGCGCCCCGGGTGGCTCACATTTTTGCAGGAGCGCTGTAAGCGCCTGAAGTTGAAAAAAAAGCAACTCTGAGCAGAAAAGCACCCGAAGTCACTTGTGTTTTTTTCCATTGACCAATCAAATGAATGGAGAGGCGGGCCTTCCGTTGTGGTGACGAAGGTTGCTTGGACCCACACGGATCTCTGTTTCCCCGTCTCCTGCATGTTTGTACACCTCTCACCCTTGATCAACTTCAAAAAAATTTTATTAGTTTCTGCTAATATGACTAGTTTAATAGCAAACTAGTAGTGATGGGTAGTTCTTGAACGATTCGTTCCTTTTGAATAAATCTTTAATGTGACTCAGGAAGAACGAGTCGTCTCGGGGAGTAATTCGTTCAGTCGCGCATGCGCAAGTGGAGCAAAGCTTCGTTTTGCCCTCCAGGTGGTGTTCCTATAAAGGTGTGACGTCATGTGAAAACTATCAATAGCAACCGCAGCTGCAGTGACACACTGTCTTTATCGATTAGCGAAAGAACCATCATGAAGAAATTCACACATTTATAAACTGTAAGAAATACATTTGAAATACAAACGGGTGCATAGTTATTATTATCAATATTGACTCTTACAGTTACGTGATGCGTTTCTGGTCTCAATTTGTAAGGATTGGGAAGGTTGTAAATTATTAACTAATTTCTCTATCCAATAATATCACATCACGTGACAAAAGAACGAACGACTCGAAAGACTCAAAAGGTGAACTAATCAATTTTGTTTCTGGCTCAGACTGCATTAGTTAAGTTTATGGGGCTGTCACGTGATGAACGACTCAAACCTGAAGACTTGTCAGATTAGAGCTGAGGTGAGCTAATCATAGACTAAAGACCCAGGTAAACAATTAATTAATCTTTTCTGTTTCTTATTGTCACAACCGGGACAAAGAGGCAGACAGGCAGGGTAAGGTAACTCTGAAGGTTTAATGACAGGAACTTAGGAGAGGCTTCCAACAGAAAAACGTTCAACAAAGGGTTAATGGAAGCATAAACACAGTCTTATCAGGGGCCGGTACTTTAGTCCTCCGGCCGAGGACTGAGGAATCCGAGGGTGGCTAGGCAGCTTGGGAGGCAAGGACCCAGACAGAGAAGCTTGCAACCTTGAGACCAGTCGATGAGTGAATGTGGTGAGTGAGTATTTGACTGGTGTGGTAAGTGGGTGCAGGTGTCCGTGATCAGTAATCAGGTGATTGTGAGCGGGTGTAGGAGGCTGATTCGGCTGGTGAGGCAGGTGTTTCCGTGACACTTATAGCATTATAGTTTTGTCTTGTTTCAAGATTCGTTAATTTTACTGAACGAGACTCAAAGATCAGAGTCGGTAAAATGATCCGAACACTTCATTGATTCCCATCACTACAAACTGGAGCGCTCGCGCTACACCGACAGCTGATTCAGTGGTTGCCTAGCAACATAAAAAACCGCAGCGCGGTGTAATACGTGTTTTCAGACCTGAAAAACACGTTCTGTCTGATCGGGGCCTTAAAGTGAAGTAGTCAGTCAAGTTTACATTATTTAGTAAACTGACATATATATAACAAACACTATTAAGGTAACCATTTTAAAGAAAAAATTATATTTTGTTATAGCTTTTGGAGCAAGGGCATGATCTACCTCAATCTCATTTGCATACGAATTGTCACGTGGCGAATCTGCATTTTGGTGGATAATAGACTTAACGGTAATGCTTGCCTGTTGTGTAGAATAAAATGATGTTCCGCGTTTTTAACAACATACACGAACTGCAGAGAAACCTGGAGACAACGAAAAACTGAAGATATTAATGCCGTGCTTAATGATTCCGGGCCGGACAATCAGATAAAGGTGATCCACAGGACGCAGCAGGTTTAGTCGCACACTACTTTTATGCCAACCATTTACATCCAAATGTTATTTAATTTTCACAGAACACAACCTTTAAATATATTTTAGAATATAAACTGTTTATCGTCTATTCAATAAGACTAAATAAAAAGTGTGCGCCTCATTTTGCATTAACTTAAATCAAGCCCAACAAATGTCTGTTTTAAAAACAGTGGATGAGTAATTCACTCCTTGATTTGCTTAATAAAAGCCTCCTTTGAGAT